CTCGTCAAACTCCCTGCACGTACCATGAATATTTCACTACTGACACAAAGCAGCTTCCCAGCCCAAACTGCACCCCCGGAGACAGACAAAGACAAAGAAACAGAGACAAATAGATTCTGTAGATAGATAGGTAGGTAGATAGATAGGTGGATGGACAGATAGCTAGAAAGATAGATAGATAGGTAGATGGATAGATTGCCCCCCTCCCCTGGCTCCCCCACCCCCTTCACCCCACATGGATACCTGTCTCAGGCTTCATCTCGCAGCCCTAAATTTCACGAGGCAGGGCTGACAGGAAGAGCTCTCCACAGCTGACAGTGCTGCCTTCCAGCACCAACAGGGGCTGCCTGAAAGCTCATCCACATCACACCGGCAGGTAACGCCCAGGACAGGCCGACAGACACATGCTCGCTCATGCAAATTACATGCCCCCTATATGTGCACACACAGAGAAAATGTGATGCAGGTGATGGAACTTTCTCTTTGGTGCAAAGGTAAAAAAAAAAAATTAAAAAAAAAAAAGGCCAGAAAGACTCTCCAGCCATGGTGGCTCTATGAAGCTGTACATACTAACATCAGCACGCTAACACGCTCACAATGACAGTATGCTAATGTTTAGCAAGCTAGCATTACAAGCTAGCATTTGCTTATTAGCACTGAATACACATTAGTTGTGCAGGTTTTTTTTCATAAAACAAAGTACTGGGAAAATAATAACTTTAACGTGATGATGGCTTCAGATGAAAAGTTAAGCTCAATGAATTTATAACAATTCATCCTGAGGTGAACATGAATGTCTGCTCTAAATTTCACAGCAATCCATCCAATGGTTGTTGAGAGATTTCACTCAAAACCACAAATTCACACTCCTGACCAGATGTTGTGCTAGACTTTTCGTCACCGATCATTTTGACTGACAGGGTCATAAAAATCTGGTCATAATCTATTTTTACTGGTCATTTTAATTTTCGTTTTTAAGTGATAAAGATATTCAAAGACATTTAGTTTTCATTCGTTCATTTTTAATAAATCCAACAAGCAAGTTATAAAGTGTGCATTAATAAGGACATGAACGAAAAGATGAACAGACATCCACACACCCGTGCCATTAGGCTTCTTATGTCAACAACGTTACATGAAGCAGATGAATCATTTTTTCTCTGCAGTGTGAAAACAGCAGCCACTTAAACCACTGACTGTGCATAATATATTAACAAAGCAATTTAACAAAATTGAACAATTACAAATAAAATCTGAACAAAAAATTGCAAGAAATCAGCTGACTTGAACATAGTTCACCTGCGGCCTGAACTCTCAGTCACCTTCCTCCTCTTGCCCATGGACTGGAACTCTGTGCCGGCTTGTGCGTAATCAAACGCATCAAGGGAGGTTGCTGCGGAGGCGATTGTCATTAAGTTTTGTACTTTTGCCTCGAACAGACGACTTCTCGTGGCTGTTTTGATGTTGTTCTGAAGGCTGAATCCGTGCTCTGCTGCCACACTGGAAACTAGAATTACCAGCACCATTTCAGCCACAGTTTTAAAGTCGGGGAACATTTCTCCCAGAGAAGTTATCAGAAGTCGGCAAGACTCTCTGAATGAGGGGTTTCCTGATCCTGCAAGCACTCGCTTCACCGGGAGGAAATCCCGCAGCATGCGCTCCTTCTGCACCAGTGGTTCAGCTGCACCGGTGTGTAAGCCGTAGTGGTCACAGACGTGCTCCAAAGCCTCCTGTCCATAGCTCTTCAGCGCACACTCCACCACCAAGTGGGCAGGGGTGGTAATTGCAATCGGTCAAAATGACCGAAGGCCTTCAGATTTTCACTGTTGTAAAAAAAACGGTCAATGACCGAGAATATTCGGTTAACACAACCCCTGCTCCTGACGGCAGTAGATGTAAAGTCAGTCCATCAATAAAGTTACTAGGGATTGAATTTCTCTAAATCATAAATGTACAAATGTTTGTGCCAATGAATGTAGTACATGCTGAGATATTGATTTCCCAGGATATGTGAAAATGTTGACCAGCCGGCTGCACTAGGTAAAAAGTCAGAGTCATCAGAGTGGCCGTGATTCATCCTCTGGAATTGCTGTAGGCCTATGTCTCTGTGTGTTTTATAATAATCCAAAATTTGTTGAGATATTTCACTTAAACCCAGAAATGTCAACCTCAAGGTGGTGCTGGAGAAAAGGTCAGGAGATCACGTAGTCCTCTCTGGGACCATGAATGTCTGAAGCAAATTACACTGCAATCCATTTAACTGTTGTTAAGATATTTCCTGAAAATCACTAATATGTTATATTTGCACGTCTCATACATATTATGTCAGCGTTTCTAAAGTTACGTATGGGCTGCTATTAGGAGGTGGAGGGGATGGTTTATAGCGTGACACCTAGACGAGACATCTGCCAAGCTGCAGACCGCTGATAGAGACCAATAAACAACAACGGCAGTTGTGATTTCCCGTGGATTTTTAGGCACCAAACGAGGGTTTTTTTGTAGCAACCTGTTGCTGCTTTTCCAGCGAGAATAGTACTACAAGAAGCTGTTTTTTTTACCGAGACATTGCTGCTTCTCTTGCAGGTATTGTGTGACCCAAACTGGGTAATTTAAGCCATAGCCAAGTGGTTTTTGTGCTTAAACCTAACTACACATTAATCACAGGGTTGTTGAAAGTTTTAACGTATCCTCTACATAATAACATGCACACATAACATATCTGTGGTTTGCAGAAACTTACAATGCCAACATTTTTTCTGCTGATTGGGCTGCCAGTGGTGCACTGACAGATAAATGCTCTCTCATACCTAAACAACAGAATAGGTTGATATACACTGACTTCCAAAACGATTTACAAGACGTTCTAACGTTGCAGTTTTTAACATCAACATCATGAAACAGTTACGGTTTTGGGGTCTCATTTATAAAACAATGCGTAGGATCCATACTAAAAATATACATATGGACAAAAGCCAAAATGCCGTTTGCCAAAACATATTCGCCAATCGCCACATTCGGGCTTCCACCTCACCGTCTGTATCACCAATTTCCCGTCTTCAAATGTTGGTAAGCATGGGTCAAAGTTTCTCCCATTAAATCTGTTTTTATACACAACTTTTGTCACATACAGTACAGGCCAAAAGTTTGGACACACCTTCTCATTCAATGCGTTTTCTTTATTTTCATGACTATTTACATTGTAGATTCTCACTGAAGGCATCAAAACTATGAATGAACACATGTGGAGTTATGTACTTAACAAAAAAAGGTGAAATAACTGAAAACATGTTTTATATTCTAGTTTCTTCAAAATAGCCACCCTTTGCTCTGATTACTGCTTTGCACACTCTTGGCATTCTCTCCATGAGCTTCAAGAGGTAGTCACCTGAAATGGTTT